AATACACAACAATGGCAACAATAACAACATATCATGGGATAAACTGGAAAAATTGTGGTGGAAAATAATTGTGGTGGAAAATAACAGCAAAGGTCTGAATCCAATTGATTGTCTCAACAAGAAGCATTCCATTGAATCAACCATGAGATGGAAGTAGCATCCTTGTTTCAATGGGTCTGTTCTAATAAGGGCTACTAGTTGGATGAAGACCAATGGATTACTGTAATATGAGTGCAAGCATTTATCAGTCCAAAAGTCACATATCATTTTCCAGGTGTTTTCCCATTGCTTACTATTTTAGGCATGTCAGGTAAATCTCGTTGATAGGTATTAAAATGTTAGGTAGAAAAAAGGTCTAAGACTCTTTCATTCTCATGTTAGTTGTTTCAGATTTGTATAAGTTAAAACCTATTTTTGCTTCTTTGCACTTTCAAAGTGATACAAAATAGTTGTGTGTATCCAGTAGTCAACAAAGAGTATGGCTTGACAAACCATATCTGACAAGAACTTGACAGCAAGCCTCAATTCACTCTGGGAACTTTCAAGAACTTGGCTTAGATTTGAAGTAAATAGCAAGGGTAGACAGTAATTCTAGCCACCTTGCTTAGCACAGTATGTTCTGCCCGGACTAAAATGGTCCCTGGTATATTTAAAATCTCACAAATTCACATACATTACTAGGCGTTTGGGGAAGGACATGCACACTTCTAATTCTGCATTATAGTTTTTCTGACAAATCTTAAGTCAACTGACATTTTGACAGGTACATAATTGTGACACCTGCCGAACCTCTTTGGCTGCAGTCCTTAAACCGTCATTCAGAGGTTTTTATTTATCTATTGTGGGAATATGTTGGATCACAATATTCTGGAGGGATGCAGATTCTTATATTTTCTCTTCTTTTGAAACCATCAACTCTCAGTTCATAAATGCATTGGTGTGTGTGTGTGTGTGAATAGATATGCTGTATTTACAACCAGAGTTGTAAATTTTGAACTGTGAATTATACAGAACAATTCCCTTATCTGTAGGAATTTGTGTGATTATATGAAATCACAAATAATAGTGAATTCCATTGAAATGAAAGACTTCATACCCAAAAATACCACAGAGGCATATTGTTATATATAGAAAATGTCTAGAGAACTCATATTTAGACAGAAGTGGAAAAATGAAACTATAAGTTCCATAAATACATGGGTCATATTGTATGTTTAGAAGATCAGAGACAGAATTGATCTCCATCCAGGCCTAACAATATGGAGAACTGGACATAGGGCTCCGCAGAACCCTATGTCTAACTTATAAATAGTAGTTAGATTTCCACCATCTAAATATGCATCCAGGGTGGGTTCATGCACACTCCAGGATGGTAGGTTTTATTAGGAAGGCAAGCACAGGCATATCATGCCTCCCTTGCTAAAAGCTCATGCCACTGAGAGTGTGTGAAAACGTGTTGATAATCACTCAGCTCATGCTTCTTTCAGTTTATTTGTTAATTGATTTTAACACTATCTGAAATCTAATTCATATTCAAAATAAAATACATTCTAAAATAAAGAAAGAGAGGGAAGAAAGAAAGAAAGAAAGAAAGGTGGAGAGAAAAAGACCTACAACTAAAACACAATAGAGTTCAGCCCTCTAATTCTGACTGTAATGAAAAAAAATAAGAAAGGGTAAATATTATTCCATTGCAAATTCAATTAAACCCAAATAGCCATAGCTGCAAATCACTACACTGTTAGATTTTGTATTCCTTAAAAAAAGTCCATCACTGGTTTCCAGTGTTTCAAAAAGTCTTCAATTTGTTTGTTCTTTAAAATTCAGAATACTTTGGCAATTTTGGCCTACTCAGCCATTTTAACAACCAATTTTCCAATGTTGGTACTCTAATCCATGTCTCTGTTTGAGCATCTGCTGATATGTCTTTCAATATTCCTATTACTGTTATGTATACCTACTTCTCCTCCAATGCAGTATTCAAAGCAGCATAAGTATACGTGAAATTAATAATCATAATAATGTATCCATAAACATAAGGATATGAACTTGTCAACTGCAAATCATACTAAATTTCGAAGACTCTGGAGCTCTATGTCTCAAAATGTGAATTGCAGCACTGTTCCAAATACCTCCCCCTACCCCAGAGTGCCTTGTTGCCTTTTTCCCAAGGTAATTGGTAGATCTGTTGAAACAAAAACTATAGATAAATTTTATACCTGCTCTTTCTGCATCTGCTTTGAATTGTAGAGGAGTTCTCCTAATGCAAAACCTTTATGGAGATGGGGTCCAGCCCCAGGACAGCTAGCAGCTGCAGGAGGAACAGAGATTAAATCCAAATTGGGTTTACTCCTCTGCAGCAGCAAATCTATCAAATCCCTCTGAAATGAAAAGACCCCTAACCACTTGAACCAGCTTTGTTGCACCATTCTTTGTTGATAAAAGCATGATATAGAGTTCATTATTTGAAGGACCATTCTTAATCACCCAGAATTCCTGCAGATTTGAAATTTCTCAGTCAAAACATCACTAAATTCGGATTGGTTCATAACAATAGAACTATGGGAATTTCCTCCACACCCAGATATAATAATAATAATAATAATAATAATAATAATAATAATCTGCAAAAGGCCACCTTACTTGGATCTGTGTGCATCATTCGAAAATACATCACACAGTCCTAGACGCTTGTGATTTTGTGATACGAAATCCAGCATATATATCTTGATTGCTGTGACATACTGTGTTTTTGTGTCATTAAAATAATAATAACAATAATAACTTTATTTATATCCCACTCTATCTCCCCGAGGGTTAACAACAAATATCGGCAAATATTCAATGCCGTAAAAACTAGACCAAGACAAAATAACCCACCACACCAAACAGACCACATCTACATCAAAAGTAACAACAGATTAACAAGAATTAAGTAGTAACATAACAAATATACGATTCTGCATCTTACATTGGGAAGAAACAGCCAAAATCTAAACAAAGCAAAATAAGGTAAAAAATGGAATTTTTGCAGCCACCAGCCAGAGTGACCAGACATTTCCACTCCATTGTGACATGCATGATATTCAATATGCTTGGGAACAAAAGTAGATTTTTAATTTTTAAGAGGGTAAGGAGGGAGCTGTTTTGATATCTTTGGAGGGGACAATCACGGAGAAGACCCCCCTTATGTTCCCACCAGCTGCGCTGGAGATGGTGGTGGGACCGAGAGCAGGGCCTCTCCATTGATCATAGAAGCAGGCTTGTAAGTGGAGAGGCAGTTTGCCAAATAGTCTGGGCCCAAACCATTTAGGGATGTAAAGGTAATAACCAGCACTTTGTCTTTAGCCCAGAAGTAGACTGGCAGCCAGTGGTGCTGCCTCAATTTTGTGGGCTGGAGGAAAGATCAGGCAACAGCATACAATGGAATTATCACCTAGCTCGAGAGACCCTGATCTTATTTAACATCCAAATGGTAGGGTAAATACCAAATTTTACTAAACTGAGAAGGGCTTACTTTGGAACCGACATGTCTGACATTGCATTGTGAAGACCTCATCAGATGGAGGTCCATAAGCCAGGAGAGAGTGGGCAAATCCATAGGGCAGTAGATTAACCTCTAAACACACTGCTGACACAGAGCCAAGGCAGAACCCCACCGTAAATAGCCCTGTGTCATGTGATAGGCTCCAGCAAGCTCTGCTTTGGCTGCACATTCATAGTATCCTAGGATAGGTGAAAAGCCCTGTGTGATGAGGTCATGAGTCATGAACTTTACAAATATGTTTGAAACTGGTCTTTTTTATCAGAAGCAGGTTAAGTTTGGTACTTGCTCAGTCCTTCCCTTTTCTGCTTCCTTTACCACTAGGAATAACATTGCAAATGGAATAACTTGGGAGCCAAGGGTACATCTACACTGCAGAATGAATGCAGTTTGAAACCACTTTATGGCTAAGTGTTATGGAATCACAGAAGTTTTAGGTTTTTAGTCTACTTTGCTAAATAGTACTAGTGACTCATCCATCTACTGGCAGTCTGAACTTGGAAAAAAAACAAGTTTACTGTTTGTTAGGAGAATGAAGAATGAAGTTCTGTGTCAAAAGGGACATACCGAATGTGAACAAAGTTACTCTATTGGTATGCAGTAATTGGTATGTAGTGAGATTTTTAAAGGCCATTTAAAGAATTTAAATGATGTTTTGACAGACATTTTCTAGCTTTGTGCCACTCTTATTATCAATCCTAAGTTTCCCTGTAAAGAAATAAAATTAGATATTTATTCATTCATTTATTTACTACATTTATATCCCCTCCCCCTCTCTCACCCCAAGGGGGACTCAGAATGGCTTACAATATGGCAATATTCAATGCCACATGTACAATCAAATAAGATATGATCCATCATATACATAATTACAGATAAAGGTATATAAACAATGTAAAACTGTTAAAACCATGATACTGCAAAATAATGGAATAATGATGATGATAAAACATACTAATGCTTTAAAAGCAGTAATCCAACTCCTTTGAAAACATTAGCATGGCTAACAGGAACCAATTACTTGTAAAATTGACCTGTAAAGTAGCCATTGCATCCAAGGCCAACATATTCTTTGGACTAGTGCCTGCAAGTGAGATTGAAACTTCCACATCTTCCAAAAAAATACACCATGGCCCTTGTTCTTGTGACTTTCCCCTGTGTGATTTTTTTCTTTCTTTCTGGAAAAGTTATGTGGGCCACATGAAAAAAAGCAATACCAAATGAGAGCTGCTGTGGTCGCCCAGTTCCTCTAGGTGTTGAAATGTAAACTGACTGCAAAACTCCATTTGTTACTCTCGGAAATGTTACAGTGATTTACCGTGAAGCACATTGGAAAACATCAATCATGCCATGGAACCCCACTGCTCCCTCCCTCACCTCTTTGCATCCTCCTCCCACTGAGAACCACATCTGTTTCCTCCTGATAGCTTTTAATACACATCCCCTTAATATTTTCCAACAGGAAGTAGAAATGGAGAGAAGTTTGCAATCACCAGCATTTAAAAATCAGCCTGGGAGCCATTCCATCATTGCTGTGAAAGACCCAGAAGCAAAAGGTGGCAAAACAATTTTTGACAAGATGTCATCCGAAAATGCTCTGAACAACAGCGCTGAAGGTTAGCATAACACTTTTTGATCTGATTTCTTGCTTTCATGCCATATATTGAACAAGGAAGACAGTAAAACATTATGTGAGGGATTTTACCCCTTCCCGACAGAGATTCAAAGTGAAGTGATATGATAATAAATGGATGGGCTTCTAAAGAAACCTGCATTCGATGCTGTAAAGTAAGAAAGTATTTGACATCCTGTAATTTTGAAAGGCAGATTTCAGTAGCATAATGTTTGGGGAAGGTTGTTGTTGTTGTTGGGGATTTTTTTTGGTTTTTTGAAATAAATAAAATGCAAGCAAGAACAACTTTGATTGTTCTCTTCAAGACAGTTTTCCCAGCTTCAAACAGAACAACATGTAAATTCCTTCACTAAAAAATAGTGCAGGGCCTTTCTTAAAGAGTGCTCTTGATCATCAAAATACTTCAAGAAAATGGTGACTGTATAATCAAAGCTGCATTCAATAAAAGGATGAATTGTGCTTTCCAATCTCAGGAAGGAAAGAGCATTCCACCTTTTCTTTTTCAGATGATTGCTTTAAAATATATTTAATGATTTTAGGATAGAATGAGACAGAATGGTGTCATGTTTCTGCAAAGTAATTTTGATTTATTAATGTTTTGAAAATGCTATTTAAATGTTAATAGCTGGTTGTTTAAAAACTGCAGAGTTTGCCATAAATTTCCAGTGCTATAAGAACAAAACACAAATACTTGATTCCAAGTACAGATACTGTTTTATGTTTTGGAAGTTTCAAGATGGTTGTTTTGAAGTCACTGTAAAGAATTTCCCTGTTTTTCACTGCATAGGGATATAGCCTGTATAATTAGCTAATATATTTTTACATCCAATCTAACATTGCCTAAACCAGACTTGAAAAAAATAGTAGTTTAATGCACAATCCAGTATTAAATGTACATAAGGAGAGCAAGTAAGCATAGTGTTTCCCGAATCACAATACTCTAGAGAAACATGGGGTCAAATTCCCATTCAGGCATGAAGCTCACTGTGTGACCTTGGGCCAATCGTTCTCTCTCCCACCACATCAGACCATAGTAGTTCTACATTGAAGATGCACTTACAGGATTGTTAGGAGGATAAATTGGAAGGGGGAAGAGATAATCCAGTAGTATCTTAGAATAATAGAATCATAGAGTTGGAAGGGACTTCATGGGCCATCCAGTCCAACCCCATGTCAAGAAGCAGGAAAAATGCATTCAAAGCACCCCCAACGCCTCCACCACACTGCAGGCGCCTCCACCACACTGCTGAACAGCTCTCATAGTCAGGAAGTTCTTCCTAATGTTCAGGTGGAATCTCCTTGTCTTAGTTTGAAGCCATTGTTCAGTGTCCAAATCTCCAGGCCAGCAGAAAACAAACTTACTCCATCCTCCCAATGACTTCCCCTCACATGATCCTCATGTCTCCTCTCAGCCTTCTCTTCTACAGGCCATACATGAATTCTTTAAGCTGCTCCTCATAGGGCTTATTCTCCAGATCTTGATAATTTTAGTCACCCTCCTCTGGAAACATTCCAGCTTCTCAAAATCATCCCTTAAATTGTGGTGCCCAGAATTGGACACAGTATTCCAGGTGTGGTCTGACCAAGGCAGAATAGACTTCTTGAAGCTAGGTGTGCCAAACTGAAGTGACTGGATATTCACCCATGGGAAGTTAGTTGGACAAGCTGCAAACAACCAAGGCAACCTGTATCTCACAAGTAGTGACATCAAGTGACTTTCAGTGACAGATATATTTTTCTGGTCACTGAGTAGGGAGGGGGCACTGACTGACCAATCGGCTGCCTCAACCAATCTGACAAGTCAATAACTTTAGATGACTTCATCATAACAGCAATTTCACTGGCTTCATTGTCATGGGTTCTTGTTTCTACATGACTGGGCCTGCCTTTTGTGAAAAAATCTTTCTGAAGAGGGGTGGCAGGAGGTTAGATCAGTCACAGTAGAATATAACTTCTCAATATAAAGCAATCATAACGGTATTTTGTTGAAGAACAATAAGGATCTCTTGTTGAAGAGTTACAGGCAGAAGTGCACAAAGTCCTGCTAAATTTACTGAGATTGTATTAATTGTGCAGAATGTTAATTCAATGAGAAACCAAGCCATATGAGGAGCACCTCGGGGACCTTAGTATATTTAGCTTGGAGAAGAAAAAATTCAGAAAGGACATAATAGCCATGTTTAAATATTTTAAAGGATGCCATATTGGAGATGGAGTAAGCTTGTTTTCGGCTGCTTCAGAAACTAGGACATGGAGCAATGCATTCAAACTACAAGATAGGAGATTCTGCCTAAACATCAAAAGGAACTTCCTGATAGTAAGAGGTGTTCAGCAGGTGACTGAGTATTCCTGCCTGACAGAATGAGGTTGGGCTGGATGACCCTTGTGGTCTCTTCCAACTCCATAATTCTATGAGAAAAGAAGAAAGCACCATTCATATCAGTGGGTTGGTGACATATACCATCATCTGGCCCTTGCCTTCTCCCTGATACTTCTTCACCATTTCTCTCTGTATAGAGAAATGTATAGTACTTTCCCCTCCCTTTTCTTTGGCAAGACTATAAATGTCAAGTTGTGTTTTTATGGTTATACAGTTGGCCCTCTGTATTTACGGATTCTACTTTTACAGATTCCACCATTTATAGCTTGAAAATATTATCCCCTCCCCACAAAAAATCCAAATAGCTAGCCTTGATTTCGCCATTTCATACAAGGGGCACTGTTTTACTGTGCTATTGTATATACTAGGACTTTATCTATGGATTCTACACTGCCACATAATCCAGACTATCAAAGCAGACAGTCCACATTACCATTTTTGAACTGGATTATATGAGTCTACGCTGCCATATAATCCCGTTCAAAGCAGATAATCTGGATTTTATATGGTAGTGTAGAATGGGCCAGAGGCTGGATCTACATTGCCTTATATCCCAGGTTCAGAACCCATATGATTTGCTTTAAACTGGAATATATGAATCTACACTGCCAAATAATCTGGCCGTGTAGATGCACCCTGAAATGACAACCAAATGAGAAAGAAGAATGCTGTGGATATAATCAACTCTCAGACGCCTCAAATTAGGCAAAGTGGGTTATCCCAGAAGGCATGGACAGCAACATCTCCCATTTTGCATTAAGACCTGTAAATATGAATGCCAGCAAAATAAGATTAACGAAGTCAATTTGATTTGCTCTGCTTATGCACAGTGGTGAAATCTCCTGATCAACCTTGATCCATCTTCCTTTAGGGAAGCACTATCTCTTGTCACGAGCCACGTAAATCTTCAGCAAGGAAAGTGGCAAGGTGAATGAGGAGGGAATGGAAACCTGTCAGAGATGTGCTCAAACTGAATCTTATTTCTGCATTAGCTAGATCATTGGGCTCTAGAGCTGTCCAAACATATTTGCTGGAATTCCCACTAGGAAAATATACTTTTCTCAGAAACATAGTATTTAAAAAGAGGTTTTTCTCATGTTTTCTACAAGGAAGACTCATATATCAGGGTCCTGAAGAGCTCTAACTGGCTTGCTGATATTTATAATAGCTAGGCTGTCAACATCTAAGGGGTAATAAGGTGCATTTTTAGCCAAATGATTTCATATGCTGTAGCATAAACTATGAAATTCAAGCTGAAAACAACCCATATTTCATTTGATGACACGCCAAACTGGACACTTAAATCATGTAGTGAAGAATATGCTGACATTTGTATTACTCATCTGTGCTCTGAGAGAATTATTGTGTGGCTATTGCATCATGGAAATGAACATTTTGTTTTCAAAATGGTCTTTTTTAGTAGTAATGAATCAAAGCATTCATATATTTAGTTTCATATACGTGAGAGGTGGAAATGGACAACCATAGCTAAGCGGAATCTGTTCATAATCGACAGTGTCATTGCTCAGAAATTTAATTCTGTCTTTCTTTTCACTTGATTTTCAGCGTCTTAATGCATCATTTACACTTAATTCCCTCAGGGAAGGAGTGGGAAGAGATAGACCTGGATGCTCATGAAATGACTTGCAGTAGACTGACAAGGGTTTTTGCCTTCCAATTGTTTGCCATTTCTAGTAAATAAAGAACTCTAAAGAACAGTAAAGAAATCAAGAAAATTTGGATTATGAAACCAAGGGCTTGTTGACATTATGCAATTCTAGTATGTATTTTACAGTTCACACAGAGATATACTCCTGGAACCTTTTCATATTACACAATTCTAGAATTGTGATCCATTCTAACCCCATGGAAACATCTCATGAAATCCTGGGATTGGCAGTTTGGTGAGAGGTGTTTGGAATTCCTAGTAAGTCCCTCACCAAACTCTAAGACCCAAAATCCCATTGAAGGTACCATGGCAGTTACAGTGGAATCACAATGCAAGAATGGAGTAATATGAGAATGTTGCAAATCTATATTTCTGTCTGAACTGAAGCTCTATGGACTTCTGGTACCCAAAGCATAGCTCTAGGCTAAGAAATCAAAGGATTCATCTTTTCAGTCAAAGTCTGTATTACAGTCAACACACCATAAGGCAATAAACTTGTCAAACACATCAGTAATAAAAAATAAACGTACAAGTAATATACAGAATAAATATGCAGTATATAAACAATTCACACAAAAATAAAAGAAAGTTCTAATATCACCTTTTGTGAGGTCTGGCAGATGAACAAACTCTGGTCCTATAATACATTGCTTGTAAAGATCAGGTTCCTGAGACATTCCACCTTAGGAATTTGCTTCAGTAAACCTTTCAGCAAAACCTTAAGGAATATTAGCAATATAGGCAGTTTCCAAGTTCCAAACAAGATAGGTTCTATAGGTTTGCTCATAAGCTGAATTAGTATGTATGTCAAAACAAATACATTTTAAGTGTAACTCCAGCCATGTGTGTGTATACACACATACACACATGTATGTGTGCTTTGGATAGCATAGGGAAGGGTTGACACCCCTGTGGCATTTGTTTTGCTGTTTGT